GAGGTCCCGTCTCCCGGCCGCACGTGACGGCGAGCCCCGGCGCCGTGAGGCCAAGGACGCCAGAACCCGAGTTAAATGCCTGAGTATGTACAAGGAGACGCTCCCGCATATGAGGAACGACATGGAGACACGCACACTCAACCCGCGGACCCTACGGTTTCTCTGCTCCCTCTGACAGCCAGCTCCTCCTGCAGTCTCACCCTTAGAGACAAACACGCTCACGCTTGGTTTCCAAGCCACTTCATCTACTCACTCGCCAGCTAGTTTGGCTCGATACTCACTAGCAAGTGCACAAATACCCTCGCTCTCTTCAGCTGCTGGCACCACGGGCCCCTGTGACCCATGGTCCCGCTCGCGTTGCTGGCCCTTGATTTCACTCACTCTTGTCTCTCCAGTTGCTGGCATCAGAGGCACAAGGGCCCTCCGATCCCTGGTCCCGCTCCAGTTCCTGGTACGCAGATCCTCACTCACTCCAGCTGCTAGCACACAGGCCCCTCTGACCTGTGGGCCGACTCCAGCTGCTGGCGCTTACAACTCCATACACACAGACAGAATACAGAGCTGCTCATCCAGGAAAATAGTTAGAAATGGAATTTGCTAAGATAGGACAGAGCAGTACTGATGAGCCAAAGGAGCACGGCCAGATAAGCATACTGACCAGTGGCACTCACATGCAACTGACCCTTTTTATTCCCTTGCCCATCTATTTTCCTACATTTGTTCCTACCCAAATTACCTTGATCCCTCCCTTTCCCTGCCTTTTGTTCCTCCCTGAACATCCCCTAAGTCTTGTGTGCAATCCCAAAATGCTCTTCCCCTGCATCCCATGTGTCCCAGGCCAGTTGAAGTAATTCCCTTCAATCAGTAAGGTGATCTGGAGAGCTGCTCCACCTGGAGCATGGGGCTGAAGCTTCCCCAGGACAGCCCTGGCAGAAGCCAGGTGGGGGTGGGGGGAAGGCCTTGTTTCTCTATCGGCGTTCCCCCACCTGCTCCCTCTGTGCTCCTGCATGTGTGTGGAGATGGGCCACTTGGCAGATGACTTGTCTCCTGCAATGGTCCTAGCCAGGACAGGGTATTATTTGGGTTCCCCCTTACGCCACTGTTCCTGGGCTCCTTCATGCATGTGAAGAGGAGCTCTTTATCACACAGCTTAACCACTTTTAGTTCTTCCACTGATTTCTACTTCTTCTTGTAAAGGGCAGTTACTAGTTTTGACCAGACTTCCTGTAACTGAACTGGATAAGTAAGCCTTTCAAGTGCAGTGAATGAAAATATTACTTAAACTGCATTTTAATGATCTGTGGCGCTTTCTATCATCCCAAGCTAATTTTAAGGATTCTCTTCTGTACCCTGTTTTAAATATTTCTTTTGGTGGCAGCACTAAGGACACTGAAAAAATGCCATAATATTTACAGATTTTTCTACAGTATTATAGTACCACTGTGGAAAATACTGCAGTCTGGGACAGAACAAAAAGCAACATGAGTTGCCTTGTCCATTTCCTACTTTTTGTGATCAAGAAGAAAGGTAAAAGGGATACTGAAGACCACTTCACAAATCTTCTTGGTTTAAGGAAGCTTATTTACACCACAGTAATTTGACTATAGCTAAGGGGAGCTTCTAGCAAGCTACATTTCACTAGCCTGTTTCTATTTGCAGTAAAACTAGCAACCGGCCACCTCCAAGATCAAAGGGAACACTGTGACCATCCAACTCCTGTGTACTCAGACCACTCGCTTTTTTCAGAAAGACTCTCTCCTTTTTCAGGTCATCTCCTGTTAACAAGTAATGATACACCTGCACATCATCACTGAAGATATAATACACATATGGCTGTAGTTTACCACACCAAAGCTAAGTTGTATTCAGTGAGTCTCTGAAAGCAGACAGGGGATTCCACGTTCCGTATATATCTACACGTACCTACTAAGTGCAGGACCCATCTTAGGGTTATTAGCAACAAATATTCCAATGCTAATTGCAACCACAAGAAATAAAGGTAAAACAGTGACCAAAAGGGACAAAAACCATACAATTTCTGGCAGAGATGAGGTGCCTTGCACTAAGTGACTCTAGGAGCTTTGTTTCACTCCTCTAACGTTCAACTAAGCTTAACGGAATAAAACTGAGTTCCTTGCAAAGTTGATGGTGAATTAAGATATGCTCGTTAACTAGAAGCTGAACAAATTCAAAGCATAAAATGTTCCTTTTTCTCCAAGCTACCGAGTGCTTACGTATGGTAGTAAATCCTCTCTCCCCCTTGTCTTTAATAAAGAGTTCTTCCTTGAAATACAAGTTTTGCTTACATTTTAAGCAAAGTATGGTAATTATTACTACAAAAACCTTTTATAAACTGTATTGTTAAACACCACATAGCATCACTTATTTAAAAAAAAAAAAAACTTAAAACTGTAGCACGCTCAGCTCAGAAAATGAGTGTACCACAATCATGTTGTGAAATAAATGTATTTAAAGAAGTGTTTCGCAGAGTTAAGATTTTTGAGCATGCGCTCGGCACAGAGCCCTCTTGCTGGAAAACAATGTCCAGATTTGCCAGGATAATGGTCCCCAAGCTTCCCACTTCCACCCCAGAGATTTTCTAACTAATATTTGCAACAAAGTCTTGAGCGTTAGAGAGAGGACAGATAAAGAATGATTATTTCCCATTTCTCAGAATACAACAAACACAGACACATGGCAACATTACAAGTTTACTACAAACAAAAATCATTCTTAAGAAAATGAACTGTGTAACTCATTTAAGTAAGACATTTCCGAGGACAAAAGTCTACGTGAACGGCGATAATAAAAATCAAACAAAGCTGCATTCCCTGGCAGCTCTTTACAGACAGTACTTCTACGCAACTTCTGACTCAAAAAGTGCTGGACAAAATGCCAAATGGAAGTTGTTTACTTTGTTTATAACCATTTTGCCTAAGCAGCTTGTGCTGCCTACTGTAGGCAGCAGAATTTTATGACAGGCCCTTTGATCTGACCCAGAGCAGTCACTCCTTGGACACTCAGCTCTGGGCACTACTTACACCATCATCAGGTAATTTCCCCCACAGGTTTTAGGGGCTAGGACCCTATCTCTACCAACCCAGTAAATTCTTCACAGGATAGTCTAACTAAAGAGGCAAAACTTCTCACGGAATGAGAAAAAACTCCTATAGCTATTATTCATTAACGTTTATTTATTAGTGCTTAGACGCTCTAACAAATGTCAGCGTTCCATTAGATGAAGCAGTGCATAAATATAACGGATAGCCCTTAGTTTAGAGAGCTTCAAGTTAGAAGCCAGTGTTGTAAAAGCGACTGCAGACTGAACCTGTACAGAGCCCCACTGAAGTCACTCACTTAATCAATGCATAATTTGCATCTGATTAGTAGAAAAAAGCAACATTACTCATCCTCTTCAAAAGGATAGAAAGCGTTGGCTATTAAGCAGTCACATAAAAAAAGTACTGCAGAGTCTTATTCCAAGCAAATGGATATTTAAATCATTACATGAACCCACACAGGACTCCCGAAGGCCGTAACATTCTTCTCTCCAGTAGGTTTCACTTTACCTACAATTACCTAGCAGTCTTCAAGTTTCAATACCTCTTCTCTCTCCAGCATGTAGAGACAAGGGAAATAAAAAATTCAACCTCCATCCCATCAGTCCAGAGGCCACTCCTGTCTTCTCACTTCACACAAGGATGTCAGAACTCCCTAATTTTCTCCACAAGTGTTACCCACGCATCCATGCAGCAGCGTATCTTTCTCCTTAACTTCAAACCTAATTCATAATTTTTGTTTCCCGATTTCCATTTGTTTTACTATATGTAGTCTCAAGATTCTGACTGCACAGACTGACCGTATGAATTATTATTATGCCATTTGTGAATTATTTCACTTTAAGTTTTTCCAGGCAAACAAAGGCATTAAATCATTTCTAGGCATTAAATTTTCCTCCCTTTGCTCACGCCGCCACGTTAGAAGTACAAGCAGTTAAATATTTGAACGAGATACTAATAAAATCAAATTGGAATAGAAAACAGTATCTTACAAAGACTTAAAATGTGGAAACACTGATTTATAGAGAAAATTTCCAGAACGTTTCACTGATGTGAAGCTTCACAAGCAAAGGACATTATCTTGCTACTAACAGTAACACAGTCCGGCCCATTGCCTCTAGTAAGTTACTACATAAGCAAAAAAAGTAAAATAACTAGTATTCCTCACTGAAGAAATATAACATTTGTTCTTAATGATGTGAACTATTATACACTAAACAATAATATCAAATACACATTTAACTAATGAAATCATAAACTAAAAATTTCGGGTTATGTTAAAAATCCCTCTCATTTATTTTTCTCTTAAACTTACTCATCTATTATTTATTATTGTTATTAAAAGGTCATCAAGCTTTATTATTTCTGCTAAGGACTATATTTTTCCTCCCTGTATGCAAAACAACATATATATACTTTCAAAAAGAAAAAACTAAATACTAAAGACAGTGTGTGAATTTTTTTTTATTTTTATTTTTTACAATTCCTACAGACTTTTATACATATTTTGCTTGTATATGATGTAAATAGTAAATATTTTTAAGCACCACTTTTTAATTCACCACGAATACATGCTTAAAACATACAGTGGAGAATGCGGGCATCGATCCCGCTACCTCTCGCATGCTAAGCGAGCGCTCTACCATTTGAGCTAATTCCCCAGCTGATAAAAAAACCACTGAAACATAGTTATACACTCTAGACATACTGACAACCACGATACAACTGCTCTTAATTATAATTCATTGTTTCTTGCTGAGTCATTCCTTCCACTTACCAGCAACTGACTGCAACTCACAGCTGGAAGCGTGTGATAAATCTTTCAGCATATACACTACCAAA